CCCCCGGATAAGAGCTTATCCGGGGGTTTTATATGGACCCCCGGATAAGAGCTTATCCGGGGGTTTTATATGGGACCCCCGGATAAGAGCTTATCCGGGGCTTTTATATGGGAGCCTTGGTTTATATGGAAGCCCCGGATAAGAGCTTATCTGGGGCTTTCATCCTGGGTTTGTCTGTCTTTAAGGCTTATTACATACATATCTTGGACAAAAGCCCCTGTTAAGGTCTTAAGAGTAAGATTGACATAAATATTTACTTTTAGCTCGTCAGAGTGGTATATACATTTACCATGTATTTACCTAATATTTACCCATAATATACATTTACCATGTATTTACCTGATATTTACACATATCGGCCGGGTAAATATATGGTATTTGTGGGTAAATATTATATGTCACATTTACCAAACATTTACATACCCCACGTAAATTTGGTAAATCCCATATTTCGTGCAGTGTGTTTTATGTATTTATATAGTTTTAACAAGCCCTGTAATATTAATACCCCATAAAGGTATTTTTCAAAAAATTGTGGGTTTTGGGTTTTTAAACTTTGTTGAGAAGAATATTTTTTCTTTGAAAGTTTAGAGAAATTGGGATAAGAAATTGTAGAAGTTTGAATAGACAACTCATTTGAGCGTTGTTATAAAACGAATGAGCAGTTTCGGATAAAGTGTATTTCGTCTTCTACAGCTTTTGCACTAACAAATTCTTTCACATACAGGTAACGTTAATCATTTTATGTTACTAGTACAGTACATGTATATCAAATGGTGGCTAATTCCTGTGGTAGTCTGAGATAAAATAAACCCCATTTCGCAGGTATCCGTGGCGAGGAGGCCCCCATCAAGCAAGATGGCGTCACGGTGACGACCAAGGTCAACGTGGACTGGACCAAGGTGCCCTTGCGGTGGAGGACGCCCTCCTGCGGCTGTGTCACCATCAGGTTTGTCCTTGAGCTTCTTGAGAATCGTGACTAATGGACATTTCCTGATCAAACCCCCTGTTCTATTTCGAACACCTCGGTCAAAATCAGCACGGGAAGGGTCGAGGTATAAGTAAAATCCCTCCTACTATAAAATTGCAATATTATGTAACCCAACACCAGTTACTACGGTGAGAGACCATTGAGACGGTCTGGTTCATGTCTGACCAGGTCAGAGGTCACTGTTTGGAGAAGAAGAAGAAACTGAACAAAAACAATATGTTTTCCTTCAGTAAACAAAATCAAAGAGGTTATTGTAAATACAAGATTTCAAACCTTGATTTGATTTGGCTCTGATGTCCACCCCTATTAGCCTTGAAACCCACAATTGCTCAATTCCTTGTTTGATGTTACCATGACAACAGGGCTACTGTGTGGGAGTCTGACAGCGTGTACCATCAGGACGAGGGCGTGGAGGGGCCTCTGACCCGTACTCTCTGCATCGTCGTACCGGACACTGAGTCCGAGACCGGTAACTTGTTGTTTCTAAACAATTCGTAGACATGTTTGTAAAAGATTTGTAAGGTTAATTCAAGTTGTCACAAAGGCCTAAAGGTTGTGCATATGCACTGATGCACCCGAACTTGCTGTTTCATTTCGTAGACTTGTCTGTACAAGATTTGTAAAGTTCTCACAAAGGCCTGACGTTGTGCATATGCACTGGTGCACCCGACAAATTTTTGGGGTGCACCGTACAAAAAATAAATACATAGAATAAGTAGTTTAGAATGTCAACAAAGACCAATCATGTTTTATTTTCTTTAAAGAAAAGTTATCATTTTTCTGCCACTTAGAATGAATGAATGAATTTTTTCTTAGATGTTAGAAATATGCTGTATGTGAGGAATATACTATACATTTAACATCTTTACATTACGTAAAACTATTAAAATATTTGGGTGCACTAGTGGTGCACAGCTCCACATTTGGGTGCACATGCACCCAGTATTTCGAGCCCTGATGGGTTAAAGTTGCCTCATGGTCAACATTTCGCTTGATTCTTTAGTGGACAGTCTTGATGTTGAAGATGAAGTCGCTTCCGAGACAGAGGTCGAGGAGGCTGAAGTCCAAGGTGAAGACATTGATGAGGACGAGGAGGATGAAGACCCAGAAGAAGTCTTCTGGAGGTCACCTTCTGTTCCCAAAGTCAAGAAAACGTAGGTTGAATTTGTTTATGATATCTTTTTTTCCTATCTGTTATAAGTTGGCTGCAGAGTTTCTCAGATATGCCCTCTTAATTTCCCCCCCCCCCCAAAAAAAAATATAGATTCAGAATCAACCTTGGAATGAAAGTTCAAAATTTATATATCCATTGATTTACAAAACAGCCTTAGGTTTGTTGACCTAATGGTTCCGGATCAAATTACAGTTTGGCACAACGCTTGGATGCTTTTTCCATGATGCTTCATGTATATTTTTTTCTAAAAAAAAACACACAACAAATTCATTAGCCTTGTTAAAAAACCTACCATATGTTTGCTGCCGAGTATCTTGGCAGCTAAAATAGGTTTGCCAATCCGAGGCTTTAAAACAATTAGGTGTGGCTTAACAGTAATTTGATCCATGTCTCCCATAGCGGCAGTTGCCGAGGCCAGGACTGCCCGCTGCACCCTGTGTTCATCGCCCCTCGTGGGTCCGACACGGAGCTGGTGGATGAGGTCTGTCTCCTGCTGCAGAACAAGCCAGTCAACCAGGAGGATATGCCTGCTTCTCTCACCAACAGGATCCAGGTTAGATAGTTTTAAACAATCTTTTGAGTTTAATGTTCAAGGGTGAGGTGTAACAAGCCTCTCGGGTGTAATGTAGCCAGAACAAGTCGGACATCCCTGTCAACCAAGACGGCCAGGAGGACATTCACGCTTCTCTCGCCAACAGGATCCAGGTTAGATAGCTTTAAACAGTGTTAGATGTTCAAGGGTTAGGTATAACAAGTCACTCGGTGTCCTTTTCAAAGGACAGAACAGTGGGGCCAGCTAGAGATTTAAACTCAAAACCTTTAGATTCTGACTTAAGAACCCTAACCACAAAACCACCTTGCTACTATGTATTGATCAATCGATTTATTGATCCAGAGTCTGGAGGTTTGTTGCGAGATGGAAGGCGAGACACGTTCTACCTGCATCAATGACCTTCGCAGCGAAAATGTTAAGGACATCTGCGAGGTCAGCACTAAGTACACCCCCCACGGCCGGTATGGACTCTCCCATCCCTGCTGCACTGGGAACAGCGATGAGAGGCTGGAGTGCTTTGACCAGGTCAGTTTAAGACTCGTACAACCTGTAGAAAAATCTTTCAACTGGAAACAAGAAGTCAGAGGAAACGATATAAAGTATAAGGAATCAAAACTATTACCTCATGATCTCTTGTTTGATAGCCAGTTAGCTATATTGGATGCCATTAAGGATGTAATCTTGAAATTTCACAGACCTCTTGGAGCACTGCCGTTTCTTTTATGGGAGAGGAATACACAGTTTTTTTTACACATAATCTAACAAAGTAACAGAACAAAGTAACAGAGTACCTAATGTTTTTAATGTTTGTTACGTTTAAAATATTCGTTAAAACAATGCAATCTTCAAATCAATCCAATCTTTCTCAAAATACAGGAGAGAAACGATGCATGGCTTCGACAAGACTCTGCACTCCGTGAATTACACATTCAATGATAGTGTAGACAGTAAGTAAATTTTCAACTTTTTACACAGGAGAGGAATGGTGGCTTTGACAGCACCCTGCACTCCGTGAACCGCACAGAGGAGCTGGTCAGGTTCCACATGACGATGAAGAAGATCGCCCGGCTGCCCTACATGCCCCGTATGGATGCCTCCATTGTGCAGAGGAAGTGTGAGTGGATCCTGAGCCGCAAAGACGACGCCAGGACACCGCACCAGTTCATGAAGGGGTACTACAAGGTCGGTGACTACATCAGAAATAATTATGATATACCATATTATACTAGAAAGTAACATTTGTAGAGTTAATGCAAAAATAATGTTTACCTTCGCATACTGTATATGGTCTGCTCTGTTAATTCTTTACCCAAAACACATATATGGTGACAGGAAGGAGTCAAAATCCCTCCTGCTCTAAAATTACAACATGATGTTAACCCTACACTAGTTACCATGATGAGAGGCGTCTGGTTCAGGTCATTGACCTTATTTGTTTAAAGAAGAAGTCTCATTCTATGTGTCTAAAGTCTGACTATTTCATGTTTCTTACAGCTTATAGCCAGGCCTCTAGAAACAGGGACATTTTTTCGACACTCAGAGCTTCTGGTACATTCTTAATCTCCATGTTTTCTTGTTTGTCTTCTGCAGTCCCAAATGATGAAGTATGAGGTTTGCTGTATGAAGGAGAGTCAGGAAGACAGGATCAGCTGCGTGGAGGAACTCCTCAGGCAAAAGGTGGACAACTACTGTGTGGATCGTTCTCTGGACAGGTAAAATAAGACTCATGGCTCTTCTTAACTTAACTTACGTGTGCCTTATTAGACAAGCAAATATGGAAAAAATAGGTTAATGTCTCATAGCATTTCATTGGCAATGGATTGTTGAACCACAGTGTTAAGGAAGGGCACAGTTTTTTTCCACAGCCTGATAGAAATTAGTAACTTAAAGCTATTGTAGTTCATCCGCTCGGTTAAAAGTTCATCTGTGTTGGTAGTTACATGTTTAAAGTTAAACTTTTGGGAGATGGACGGAATACAAAAGATAGCTCTTATTTAAGAGCTTTCAACCAGTCACTCCCGTCTTCTTCAATAGACTGACCCAGTGAGACTTGTCACGTGGCTTCTCTGAATTGAAATCAACACAGTTAACAGTGCCAAATTGTTTTATCCTGTGAACAGGGAAGACCCAACTAACCCCCGCGCTCTCGAGCCCATCAACCCCTGCTGTCACCAGCCCAGGAGCGAGCGTTACGAGTGCTTCCACCAGATCGCAAACTCCAGCTGGTCTGGGAAGAACTCTTCTAGAACCTGCTACAAGTTCCTGATCAAGAACTACCGGACTGCACGCCAAGTCTGGCTCGACAACATCAAGCCGGTGGTATGTTTCTTCTTCTTTTTCTTCCTCATCTGCATGTAGTTTAATGTACCATGTACCAATATTCTAAGAATGAATGGATGAGTGAGTGAGTGAGTGAGTGAGTGAGTGAGAGAATGAATGAGTGTGTGAGTAAATGAGTGAGTCAGTGAGTGTGTGAGTAAATGAGTGAGTCAGTGAGTGAGTGAGTGAGTGAGTGAGTGAATGTCATCCCCTGTGTTGTGCTACAAGTATCTGATCAAGAACTACAGGACTGCACGCCAAGTCTGGTTCGACAACATCAAGCCAGTGGTATGAAAATTTGTATTTCTTAGTAAAATGTTGAGCTTTAGTCCAGTACAAGGGTTACACAGAGGTCAAAGGACCGCAGTTGCCTTCATCAGGATAATTAATGACTAATCACTTCCAAGCGTAAACTTGCAACCGTTAAGGTTACAGACACATGATTTTGCTCTTACCTTTATCCCCCGTTTTTTTTCTGTCGCCCCTCTAGCTGAGTTCAGAGGAGCATGGAGTACTGGTCTCCAATAAGCTGTGGTGCATGAGCGAAGGCAAGAGTAGGTTTTAACTCCTAAAATATAAAACTAGGCTTATAACACAGTTATTTCATGAAAAATGCTTCTGAATCACCAATTTGAAATCTCCAAGACCTATTCTAAGATTAGATAGAATGTAACGTTATTCTCTAGTTATTCCTAAGACTTCGATATTATTCTTGTCTTCTATCCCATGTATGATGTACAATCATGCAACATCACACTCTGATGTATGCATTTAGCGCCATGAAGATTCGTCAATTTATCAGACTTAAATTTGACCCCCCAGAGAGCCGCAGTGTTCCGTGGTTCATCGCCTACAGCAAGTTCATGGCCCCCCGCGGCGGCAACACGGTTGCCGTGGACAACATCTGTGACATCACCATGGCAACGCTGACTGGCGAGGAGCCTGACCTGGAGGATGTCCCTGCAGAGGTGTTCGAGGAAGAAGAGGAAGAGGAGGAGGAGGCCAGGTGAGTCCATTTTAAAAACGTTATACCTGTACCCATTCTTACTAGTAAATAGAGAACATTTAACAATATGTTTACCAAAGGAAAACTTATTGTTTTTGCTACGTTGCCTCTTCTTCTCCAAACCAAAAGGGTCAATGACCTGAACCAAATAGACTGTTACCATGGTAACTAGTGTTGAGTTAGAACATGTTGCAATTTTATAGCACGAGGGATTTAGACTTCTTTCTGACCATACATATGAATGTGTTGGAGTAAGGATTGACAGAGAAGACCATATGCGAAGGTAAACATGCATTTGCTATACAACTGTTATCTTAACTTTCTAGTATACTTTTGTCAAACTTTAGTTCTGCTGAGGAGAGTTCTGAAGAGTCATCTGAAGAAGAAGGCTATGGTGGGGTAAGTTTGAAAATGCCTGTATCAAAATAGAAACAATTGTTTGACATGTTGAAAGAATTATACATGCCTGTCCTTGGTGCTGAACACCGTCACATGTACAGTATGCACCTTTTGAGGGTGCATGCAAAATATGTTTCTTGTTACTAACAGTGTAAGCTTTTGTGAAAGTAAAGCCATATCTGTACATTGAACTGGTCTCACTGAAGCTAGATCTTAACTGTTTTCGTCATGTTCTTTTTACAAAGAGGTCCAATCCTCTGTCAGCTTTTTCCTTCCCTTCCTTAATCAAGAATTAAGAATTTTTGGTTTCTTCTTTTTCTAAAACAAGTCTCAAAGACCTATCATTCTCCTGCCTTCCAGAAGTCCCGTTGGATGATGATGAAAAAGATGAAGAAGATGATCGCCAAGGCCCCCGAGGAGATGAGGCCCCGCCTGATGATGAAGATGAAGAGGATGATGATGAAGAAGAAGATGGCGGGAAAGATGGAGAACATGCGCGAACTGTGGACCCAGAGGAGGGACCAGCTGCAGGCCTGCTGTATCCATGACGACCGGGAAACCTGTTTCAACGACCTCCGCAGCCAGCATGCTAATGAGGTGAGCACGAGTATGCTAATGAGGTGAGCATGAGTATGCAAATAAGATGAGCACAAGCATGCTAATGAGTGAGCATGAGTATGCTAATTAGTTGAGCACAATCATGCTAATGAGGTGAGCACAATTATACTAATAATGTGAGCACAAGTATGCTAATTAATTCAATTAAAGCTAATGAGGTTAGGAGGAGTATGCTTATGAGATGTACACCAGTCCTGTCTTTTCAATTTTCGACAATACCACAATCATGCAGTAAGGTTTGTGACAGTTTTGTTTATCTCTTTCTCAGCATCCTGTACCATTCCTCAGGTGATGTAAAAGAAAATGTCTGAAATTCACTTGCCAATCTGGCTCATCATACCCTCTCTCTATCCGGTTTAACATCTGTTGTTCCCCGTGTTCTGAGGGTTATTAGACGTGCTTGCACACCGATACTGGGGCTTGATGGTAGCTCGCCATTTTCCTTTGCCCTGTGGTTGTTGTGTACAACAAATGTCAATACCCTTGCGGGTTAGATTCTCAGCAACTTCACCGGCCAGCCACGCTAACTCTTGTTTTAAAATCATTCCCCAGGTCTGTGTGCATGATGAGATCACCGTAGAGACGAAGGGCGCTGTACCGAACCCCTGCTGTCAGCTGTCAGGGCAGGAGAGGAGTGAGTGTATGGACCAGCTGAGGAGCGGCCCCAGCGACAGCCAGAATGACTTTACTGACGTCGTTGCTCAGTTCAAGGTCTGTTTCATTTCATTTATTTGATCTACAGCTGCTTTATTCGAATAATGCGAATACTCAGTACTGTATACCTGTTGTCAGTCATGTTGCTGTACATGTATGTGGATTTTCAATTCCTGCATTGAATGTGGTTCTGTTACCTCATGGGGCATAAAAGAAATAATGTCGGCTGTTTCTAAACACTGTTGCATGTTTTTTTCTGATGCAGGGACCTTTCAGTGTTTTCTGCGCCAGTGCAGGTGACTGTCCAGAAAGCTTTAAACAACAGTTGCAATTAAATGTGCAAAAAATATGAAATACTGTAACAAGTCTTTTGGTGTGTGATATAGCTAACTGCCGCCACGCCGCGTGCCTGGGAAGCTGGTGTGTTATTCCGGCTATATCGATACAGAAAAAATGGATTTTGAGCTGTGTTATTCCCACCTGCAGACCCAGAGAGAGCTGCGTGCACAGAGCCAACCTGAGATCATGGGGTGTGAGCGTGTGAACATGCAGGTCCAGGGATCCTGCTACTGCCAGAAAATGAACATCTACAAGAAACACAAGTCCTCTGACAGCAAGAGTGGCTATGCCGGCAAGAGCGCCTACGCAGGAGAGTACATCCAGAACATCATGACCTACGTCTGGTCTCCTATTGATGTAAGAACTATTTTCTTAATAATATGTTATTATATAGCGTGCAGTCCAGAAAGAATTTGAAGTATCAAGAACCATGCTTTTATGATCCAGAAACTTGCTCAGGCATGGTTTGATAGTACATTGTGTATCCAGAGCAGTGCAAGGCAAATGTATTGTTAGTATTGGAAAACTTTGTCTGGCCCTACTGTTTTATCAAGAAAATCAGCCTCGCAGCATGATTAACATAATATAACAAGCTGAATTGCACTGATTTGTACAATAGTATGTGGCAGAACACCAATTTACATACATAAATACAACTAAATAGGCCATACTATGCAAAATGCCTAACTATGCTGCAAGGTAACTAAAATGCCCTAAAAAGTCTTATCAGATAGACCTGGTATACAGGCGTATGGCCTGATGGAGAAAAGAGTTTTGTTCGTAACATGTTAAAGTACCTGTACTGTTTTTTCCTTAACAACAGATGAGTGTCAGTAAGATGGGCAAGGACCTTAAGACCTGTTGCCAGAGTGAGACAGAGGAGGAACAGAACAACTGCTTCATGCAGACCCGAACCGAGCAGGTTAACTCTTACTGTCAGCAGCTACAGGTGAGGGGGAGGGGTGGATGGATGGAGGGATGAGGAAATGAGGAAATGAATGCGGGACTGAGGAAACGATTGAATGAATTTAGCTATATACAACTGTATCGATGTGTGAATGTGTCGTAGATGTTTCATCATAGATGCTTGGTTGGATCGATGGATAAACCAGTGAAAAAAATGTTATGAATAGAATAGCAGAATTTCTGCATAGTATAATTTACTGTTGATTCATTTTGTCAAGTTTTTCCATTTTTTATTTCTTCCCCCTTTCATCATACTGAAGTTCCTGTTGTTTGGCTGTGCAGGACTCTGATGTGGTGTCTGAGGAGGTTGCTGAGTGCTGTGAGAAGTCTGGAGAGGAACGTCTGGAGTGTATGGAGAGCCTCAGGCCTAGGTCTGCTCCTTGTAAGTATACTTCTCAGTTAGATACACCCCTATGTTTTACGAACGATTTACTTTTAGTAAATACTTTGTAAACTAGTACGTAAAGTGCTAAATTGTTCTGTGACCAGTAAGTTTGTTTGGCATTCTTAGGTCATGGAAGAGAATGCTACCAGAAGGACAACAGTTACAACAAATGGCTGGCAACTGTACTGGGACGGGTAAAATCCTTACACACCCTTTCCACTAGAATAAACTGATACAACTGATGAGCACTCGCTATATATTTCGTGATCAGGTTTTTGACAGATGGTAACGAATTGCAACCTGCATGAAGGCAAAGCTGAAGTTTAGGTTTTTGTTTTTTGTAATACTCAATATATGTTTACAAATAGCTCTTTTAATATCCTGACGACTTATTTCATTTTATTGTACTTTATTTATTCAAAAAGGATGAAGACAGCAGTGAGTCTTCTGAAGAGTATTCTGATGAATCTTCTGAGGAATGGTCTAAGGAATGGTCTAGGGAATCGTCTGAGGAGTCTTCTGAGGAATCTTCTGAGGAATATGGTAACTTACATTATTGTCATCTTGAGTAGATAGTCCACTAACAACTTAGGGCAACACCCCTCTTCTTTCTTCTTAAACTTTGAGGCAGCCGCCTTTAACTAGCTGACGATTCTGCTGCCTTTTTGTGGCCGTGAATAATAGATTGGGTTCGCCAGGCTTCCACCCAGGAAAGTCGTGTAAAGTGCCTTTTCCGAGGGCACAATATCGGTGATATGGCAAGGTTCGAACCCGGGACCTCTTGATTCCAAGCCGAACACTCTGCCGTTACGCCACACGACTCCTCTGGTTAAGTATATACGATTCTGCTTGATGGACAATCTGGTAAAAAGCATTTTCGCGCCAGAAATCAGACTAGAAGTATCATTCTAACAACTCCTAAAGTGAGAATCTGATTGAGTCAGATTGGACGAACCCTACAACTGCTTTATTTCCAAACAGGACGTCATCATCATCGCGGTTCTCATGGACACCGTAGGCACGGTGGCCCACACAAGAAACATGGACATCATGGGAAACCTGGTAAATTTGCTTTATCCTTGTCTCGACTAATGTCTTACTTTAATTTCCTGTTTGGAAATTTTGTTTTCACTTATTTGAATATCTGACAACCCTCCAGTGTCACTGAAGAAAGGTAGTGGATGCTAACTGAAACGTCGGACCGTTTCCAAAATCATATCCAGTTGCTTGAATAACTACTTTTTGGTGTATCTTATTACCTGGATGTCTAACCTTTACTGACTATGCATGCTACCTGAAACGTCTGACCGTTTCCAAAATCATATCCGCAGTTTTTTGAGTAACTATTTCAGGCATATCTGATATAACCTTGATGTCTAAACTCCACCGACAAATATGGTCGCCCAGGGTTGCATGGTAACCATGACAACGACCATGACTACGTGTGGTCCGTGTACGGCCACGGCCTATCGAACCCTGTCGAGTCGTCTTTGTCTAAATGGCTAATGTCCAGTTGCTTGAGTAACTGTTTTTTGGTGTATCTTATTACCTGGATGTCTAACCTTTACTAACGCATGGTAAATATAATTATTATGGTCACCCAGGCTACCATGGTAAAGATGACAACGACCATGATGACATTTGGTCCGTGTACGGCCACGGCCCGTCCAACCCACTGGAGTCGGCGTACTTCATGGCGCCCCGTGGGACAGACGCTGTGGGCGTCAGAGTGGCCTGCGCCGTCCTACACATCAACCTGAAACAACAGGAGCAGGAGGAGAACCAGGAGGATAGCGACATGGTAAGTAAACAAGTATTGTATACTGAGTAGAATTTATATGGATGACATCCATGATGTCGAATGGCTGAAAGGCTAGTGGACACTGGAGTGGATGTCCAAACTTCAACATACACAGTGGAGTAGGGGATAGGAAACAAGGTTAAACATCTTTGTTGTGGGAACTCTCTTCTCTAAGCCCGGCTACGTATGCTACAGGGAAATAGGGTCGGTTTCCAAGAACAGTTTGGATATCATCCTACCTTAGTTAGACTTTGGTGTTGGTGCCGGGTGGCTAGGCTACTGGACATGGTACTGGAAACAGTACAACGATGCGCCCAGGTGTAGAAGGAGAGGGCTAGGCTCCACCTATCAGCTACAGTGCCTTAGACTCAGTGGTCTTCCTTAAATCGTGTTAATTTTTTCAGATGCATGGCAGATGTCAAAACCTAATTATAGACTCAGTGGTCCTCGAATATCTTCTTTTCAGATGTTTGGTGGGAAGTGGGGAGACAAGTGGGGAAAGATGTCCATGAAGCGTGAGGGCTGGGGTAGGAAAGCCCTGCCCAGCTGGAAGCCAGACAAGCAGCGCCTCGCCAAGCAGCGCGTGTCGGACCTGCAGAAGTGCTGCTCTGCCACCGGAGACGAACAGGTTTGTTTGTTCTTTTTGTGTTGATGGCCACTTCTTGGAGTAAGGCAATTCTATTTAGTGATAGTGATTCTATTAGTGATACGTACATCACTACAGTAACTGGAGTCGTCTCGGAATCTAAGATAATAGTTATACAATATTAATGAAACAAACACTCAGTCAAGTAAATTTTGAATAAAAAAACTTGAATCAGGTGAACACAAAAAACAGAGGATTAAAGCTAACAGTGATGAATTATACAACATGTATTATTTATCTTGTATATTTGATCGATTGATTTTCTGTTAGCCATAGAATCCCATTCAACTCAAATTCAAAGATACTTGAATGTACTTGCAGCAGTGGATTGTGTCTCGGACATGTTGCTTTTCAGCAGAGAATTAACCCAGTTGCTGGATCTATTCTATAGTGCTCTACCTTGTTGCCATGTAGGTGACTTGCTTTGACGAGATGCGTCGGACGAACATGGACCAGCAGTGCCACTTCTCCCTGCCCGGTGTGAGCTCCGTCCTGACGCCCTGCTGCCAGCTGTCCGGAGACGAGCGCCACTCCTGCATGGACCAGACTCGCTACGGCTTCGACATTCAGGTACGGGCACTTAGGGAGGGCCTGCAGGGGAGGGAGGGGGGTCCCCCGACGCTTTACGATAAATTCCATGTAGCTACAGCGCATTGAGTAGAATTAAAACGGCCGATTACGCTCTACGGAAAAGGGCTTGAGGGCCCCCACTTATGCCACACCGACTTCCGTGCGCGCATTGATTTTCGCCTGTTCTCAAAGAAAACAAGAAGTCCTCCGAGCGACAGTACAGAGCGGTAACTCTGTAGGGCGGCACACAGGCTACCAAAACTCCCCTACAAGGGACATTAATAATCGATTTTTGGAGCTGATCAACCTTTTCTTGCTCCATGATCTGACACCTCAGAGTGATGAAACATAGTACAATCGGTTTTCCAACATTGACATTGAAAATGAAATTATTCTCAATGCAAGTATGGTATATTACAGTTGGATCACTACAGATTGTCTAAAAGAAAGAATACCAAAGAATCCCACACTTACTTGTATTTTTTCTTACAGGTTCACAACAAGGACTACACCAAGAACACCAGCTTGGCGATGGACATCTGGCGCTTCATGCAGCTAAACATGATGTCACAGCGCCCCCCAGCATTTGATGAGCAAACTGCAGGCAGCTATTGCCAGAAAATCAAGTATGGCTATTCTTTTCAAATCCTCAGATGTGACACAGAGTACCAATTACAACATAGTGAATGCCTTAATTTGTTTTGCAAATGCTAACTTAAGTTTCCAGTTATGTTTACCGAAGAAAATCATTTTTTTGCTCTGTTTCCTCTTCTTCCGTTCCAAACACAAAAGGTCCAATGGGGAAAGAGCAGACCATATGCGAACATTATTCATGTTACCTCTAAAGCTTTAGTGTCTAGAACAGCGAGCAGATTATTATTGGACTGATCAGAGCACTTTGGACTAATGCCTCTGGCTGTTTACAGCCTAGAGGTACATATCCAATCTTTTGTCAAAAACTTCTTTGTTACATAGCGGATCATAATGACCCCCAGCGGGGGTCTTCACGCTTCGTTAAAAAAGGAAAAATCTCAAGATTTTTCCAAAGATCTCAATATTTTAGACAAAATCTTGAGAAATCTTGTTCTAGTTATTTGTTGTTTTTCCCCACGCAGACGTGACAGTGACTACCATGTAGAGGAGTCCGATGAGCAGCCTCTAGTGCGTCTGGACCCCAAATCGAGCGTCAGCCTGCTGGCCTATCAGCAGCAGCGATGCTGCCACATGGACGGCCAGGACGCTGTTGCGTGTCTGGCAGGCATCCGGGAGAGCAGGCTGAACCAGCTGTGTGTGGAGCATGAAAACGTGGTAAGTAGGGGTGGGTACCGGTTCGACCAAGAAGGGTCGAAAAAGGTAAGATGTCTAGATTTGAAGTACACAATGTATACTAAGAGACGATGCTGCCACAAAAATGGGCAGGACGCAGTTGCGTGTCTGGCAGGCATCAGGGAGAGGAGGCTGAACCAGCTGTGTGTGGAGCACGAAAACGTGGTAAGTAAGGATCATCAGCGTAATGATGTCAGAAAGGTTTGTCACTCTGTCTGCCTCTGAGTCAGTAGACTGACCCAGTGAGACTTTCACATGGCTTGTCATAATTATGACGTCAACACTAGGTCAAAGGTACTGTCATCTGTACTGTCAGCATAATGGTATCAGGAAAGTTTGTGTTGGCAGTTACATGTTTTTGGAGTTGATTTTTTTGTTGTTGTTGTTGTTTAAAAAATTGTTGAGCAGCTAGAGCTTTGGGCCACCACAAGTTACAACATTTCAAATTGAAATATTTCCCCATTATAGGATAGGTTGATGGATACCCTACTGGACGTGACTGAGGGCAACTACCTCCACAAGTACGCCCAGGAGGCTGTTGAATACATCAAGACCAAGGTTCCCGTTCACCGCTGTTGCCGCAGCAACCGGGAGAACCGCATGTCGTGCTTTGCGCAGGAGTGGCGCCCGTACAGCCCGGCCGTGGACACCCGCGACTTCAGCGCCGATCTGGGCTTCTATTCCAACCAGATGAACGAGTTCGCGAATGTTGCCTATCGCTGGGTGAGCATCATGACTGAACTTGTGACGATAGTCTTTTAAATTATATAGAAATGAGAGGCATTCCCTCTATACTTATGTAATAGATAAGTTCTCAAGCTTTAGACATTTAGATAAAATAGAAAAATTCGAATTCCTCATGAAACTTGACAAACCATGTATCATTAGCTCAATATGTTCGTACATCTTTGACTGCGTCAAGAAACGAGTAGATCACATTAGTATATATAGTATGTAAGTGTCATTGCTATATTCCTTTCCCTGTTTATCCACGGCCTGTACTTAGCTTGTTATAGCACAAACGTATAATAAAGGTCTTTCATTCATTTCAAAAGTTTAAAGTCCAGTAACCCCATCATAAGATCTGATAAAACTGAGTAACCTAACTCACTTACTCTCTTACGTAGCTACTGGCCGTAAGGGCATTTTGGCCGGCCACAAAAAGTTTCCACTTCAGTCTGCAGCTGTTATTTTCAATGAGAATGACACAACTTTAATTTCTGTATTGCAGATGATGAAGTGTCCAATGTTCAGGAAGATGATGATGGGTAAGTTCGGCATGGCTATTTCTTGTTCTCTTCTGGGCTGGCATCAGGTACTTGGTCATCAGTTTATTGGTCAGTTTGTACCTCATGCATAGTCTGGGCATTTGTCTGTCTTCACAGATTAATACACAATTTAATACACATAGAGAATTCTAGTGTGAATAATAGTGATGGATGCCACTCGAAATATCCGGAAGGACTTTCTGTATTTTAAAGTAGACAAAAGTAGAAAAATTGGCCATAAGATTTCACACTGTCTGTAATTTAACATAATGAATGTTGTTTATGCCTTATATGGAAGAACCCGTGACTGAGAAGTACCCAGGAGTCCACAAGAAGTTCTATCGTCATGGTGACGTCAGCTCCAGGAAGTTTGTGGTACCTCGTGGTGAAGACACCGAGCGCGTGGAGGAGGTCTGCAAAAAGGTACTTAAAGGCTTTTTTTAAGGCTTGAAAACCAGATTTTTCAAAGTCAATATTCTAGTTATTTACCAACAGTTGAAACAACACTGTCCCGATGTATACTGACATTGTTTCATGGAACAGAAATACTGATAAAAATTCTGACGAGAAACATTTTCTGGAAGGACCCTGGGCTGATATTTACCGGGGACTTATCTTGAGTCTTGTTTCTACATTTTTGTATGTCCAAAGTTTGAAATGCTGAATCAGAATCAGATTTAAAATTGCTAATGTGAGGCAGTATGTGTCACTATGATACAGATTGCCTTATTCGGAATATTTCCGGTTTTGCACGGTCTACGGTCTACACTCTACGTAGACCGGCCGATTATGCTCTACAGATAAGAACATGCCGGCCACCATAATAGTATAAGACAGTGTTCTTTTTTCAAAATAAATTGTTGACATGGTCTTATGCATTGTTCTACTGATATGCAGGTGTCGTGGCTGTCTGACAACCCCTCCCTGCCAATGCCATCCAACTACACGGTCAGCACGGAAGTAACTCAGCGCCGCGTGGAACAGCTTGGGGAGTGCTGCTCCTCCGAGGGAACGGACCGCGCCGAGTGCTTCGATTCCCTCCGCCAGAACAGCGCGGACGAGTTTTGTGAGAACCAGCCTGAGCTCAACCGCCATCTTATCCCCGAGCATCCGTGTTGCTCCGAGACTGGCAGCAACAGGTATGTTTTCATGTTGTACTTTACCAAAGGCAAATATGTTGTTTTTGCTCAGTTTCTTCTTCCACTTCTTCTTCTTTTCCAGTGACCTCTGACCTGAACCAATGTTGTGCCTCTCACCATGGTAACTGATGTAGGGTTACATCATGTTGCAATTTTATAGCAGGAGGGATTTAGACTCCTGTCTGACCATATATATGAATGTATTTGAGTAAGAATTAGCAGACCGGTCGGCTGTCACCATGGTTTTCTGGACCAGGTGGTGTTGGATTACATTATGTAGCAAGTGGCATGACAGAGTTGGAGGGTCTGGTTAATGAGTGAAATCAATGTATGAACTTGATTTCCAGGCTGATGTGCCTTGATATGGAGAAGTATGGATATGACGCGGACCGCCACACCACGGATTTCTCTGAGCAGCTGGACCAGTTTGCCTCCCAGAAATATGTAGTGAAGTCTCTCATTGATATCACGGTAAGAAACAGACATTCGAGTGAAGCCTGTAATAACTTAACTTTGATTTATTCATCAGTTTACAGGGCTCAAAATAAAAGTTTTATCTATATATTATGTAGGTTGTTTCCTTTTTAAAATAGTTTTCTTACTAATTAAATAAAATAGTATTAGATTACATAGTACTGTTCCAAATTCACACAGTTGGCAATGCAGAGGTTATCACATGTCAAGAATTTAGCCTTTAAACAGTTATACAATTAACTAAATTAAAGCATTTAATCTAAAATTCAGGACTCAATTTGTAAATGGCTATCAGTATCAGAATTTAAAAAAAAGAATGCAGAACTAAAACATTAATATTGCGGGAAACTGCAATATTGCCTCCCCTCAGTTTTAGGAAAGGAATACAGATTAAACTTTTCCTCCTCAACTTTATTCTGTGGTTGTATGAACCAAGCAGGTCATATATGGCCATACATATACATGTAATTACATGTACCTCAACCTTGTTTTTTCCTTCCTTTTACATCACAGAAGGCCGTAGGAAGCCGGAAGAACGCCAGTGAAACTAAGATGTACTGTGCCTGGAAGGGGAAGATGGCACAGAAATCCCAGAACTGGGTCAAGTGGGGAATCTACAGAGAGGTATATGTAATATTATTAAAGGGACTTAAATATAATATAAATACTTATTTTTTATGAATACTAAAATGTTGTAATTTTTTCATCATCATGTTAGAATTGTTATTATTCACTGTTTTATATTCATAATTCACTATCATTCGAGGGCTTCAATGGTCAATTAAACTTAGTGTATGGAACACTATTTTAGAGGTCACAGTGTACATGTTGAGTGGAATGGTTGCTTGGTTTGAATTGTAGGCTGGTTTTACCTATTTAGGGATGGCACCAAACGCATACAGGGACTAATCACATTGCTTGTTTGGGGGCTTTTTTAAATACTTCGAATATAAAATGACATCAGAAATGTTCAACGGAATGACTGTTAATGTGATTATTTATTGGGTAAAGTAGTTCTTTGCCACCATGAACCATTTTCATCTGCTATGCAATTGTATGTAACTAGTTACTGTGTTTAACAATCGTTTTGTATTTATGTTCTTGAGTAGAAGGCTTCATATGATATTATAAACAATTTCCTTTTTGCCTGATACTCGTTAAATACATGTAAATAAAAACAAAATTATAACCTGGCGGTGTGTATTTGCAGATGAGTGATATCTATGCCAGGAAGGGTGAGTGTTGCCAGCAGGCGACAGTCGGTGACCAGCAGCAGTGCCTGAGCGGCGTGTTCGAGACCCGCGTGGATGACTTCTGCTCCTGGCTGGACAAGACCGCGGAACAGGCCACAAGTTACGTGGAGGGCGTTGCCCTGACTCAGCCGGATCATGTGTGCTGCGGGGTGAGTCTATTGCCATTAGTTACTGTAATTCACTTCATGTTCACGTCTGCAAACGTTCTCGGTCTAAGTAAAATGGACATGTTCACGGAACTATTCACGGTTGCGACAGGTGCAGGAAAAAGAAAGTCCAGGAATTATTTGTTTACGGTAATGATAAGTTCACGGTGCAGAAGTGACAGTGAAAACAGTGAACATAACAGTAAAGTGAAAAAATCAGGAATTACAGAATGTTTACGTTGAAGTTCGCAGGAGAAATTGTATTTTACGTGACGGTATTCACACGAGACTTTACTGATACGTGACGTGAGCAATTGATCAAAAGTGCCAGCGAGTGAAGGCCTTAATACCTCTTGAAAAGTAGTCCTGTTCAGTGTCCAGTATTCTAGCTTTGTCCAAAGAGACGGTATGTCCCGGTGATTCCATGTGGATCTGTTGAGAAACTTCAGATGATAGCGAGCTGGGGCGTTAATGTGTTTAAGAAATCAGGTCCTCAGTGAACGATAGTCGTTTTTTTTTTACTCCGTGAAGGAGGTCAGGACCTCCGGACGGAGTGTTGTAATCGGCTGATTTTTCATGTTCGCAGTCAAAACACTGGGTTCTCTTTGTGTAATCGGCACGCAATTTTATACGCCGTCTGCGGGCATGCCCGTGTTGATGCACGAATGTGTATTTTTGCCGTTGCTGCTTTCGCGGTCAATGTAATATCGCAGACGCACCCCTACAATTACGAGGCGAATTGGAATGGTCCAGAAAAACGCGTTGTTTGGAATAGCAGTCATGCAAAAAAAGTTCATGCAGATACGGGGTGGTTTTTATAAGTGGTTCCAGATGTTTTTGCCCATGGTTAAGAGATGCCAAGTTTTTTGGAAGATGTTCGCAGCCAAAACGCATTATTCCGTACGTCGCATTTCTGTGTAATTTCGCATGTGGTGTTGCATTATGTCCGGGATGATGCACGTCTTTTTATTTTTACCGTAGCTGTTTTGATATTGGAGTAAATGCATATTTTAGAAACATCCCTACTTTTACAATCCTGTGGAATAGGCCGTAGGTTTAGGCAGTTGTCTGGTAGCAGAGGTACTCATAAGCAGATATCCTGGTTATCTGGCCGCCGGTAGTAACACTCGCGGTGCTTACCGCAACTGTTGCTGGAATTCCAGGCGCGCTTAATTAGGTACAGGCACGGTAAGACGGTTGGGCCTGTCTTTGTTACTAGACACGACCATGATAGTCCGATCTTTATATGAATGCAATGATTGTGTGTGTGTAATTAAAATGAACTTCGAACTTGAAGCACAGTATCTTTACACGCCCTGGGAGCAGTAATGGTAGTAGAATGGTTTATAATGACATGTCGCCATCTATATCACAACAGTGGCAGCCCGCAGGCTGAATTGATGATGTGATATTACACAGATTGACTGCACAAGAGCATTATATACATAACCTAAAATCGAGAGTCATTACATACACAACGATCGAAACAATTATAAAATAAGTATACATTAAAATCGGATAAAAATACATGTTATTTATCATATAGGGCAATATAAAAACAATTAAAATGGAATTACGTATTCAGTAAACGAACCATGTGCGGTACAGCACTCATTCTATAACGTTCGGTTCGACACTTGAGAATGTCCAGATTACCAGCAGAACGAGTCTGTCGGCAAGTAATGTTCATTCTTGTAGGCGGTAGTAGGTGGCGGTATTGTTCAGACACAAGGAGTGATTTCGCAAACTTTAAAGTCAAGTTCGATCGTCTGGAGTGCAGAGATGGCAAACCGAGGTGTAAGCATGCTTCGGAGTAACGGGTGTAGTCATGTCCCATAATGATGCGGACCGCCCTACGCTGGATTCTCTCAATCTTATTGTTCAGCAGTGTTGTTAATCCCGGGTGCCCGACAGGGGCTGCGTACTCGGTAATGGGTCTTATGTAAGAAATGTACACAGTGACAAGGTCATCCTTTGCGATATGGAAATGCTTCAGTCTACGTAACAGGAAAAGTCGCTGACTAGCTTTGTTGTAGACGAAGTTGACAATGGATTTAGCTCTTTGTATGTTTTATGCTTGTGACGCGCCCTCATTGTATTAACCGTTGCCTAATTATAATGTCTGCACAGTAGGTCTGGCGTTGACGCTTGGGATTTTGTTGAAATATATAAAACTTCACGGAGGATTGTCACCTATGGCTTCTTGTTTTATTTCAGATGGAGGGCCGTAGCCGGTACGACTGTTTCGGGCAGGTGACCAGTGGTGGGTACAGCCCGTATGTTGACTCCCGTGACTTCACAGACATCATCCAAACCTACCAGGAGCAGTACAACAACTTCCTCAAGATAAGGGAAGTCCAGGTTAGAAAATACATTTGCAATGCTTTACATTTGGAACCGCATATTTCCCTATGATGTAACAATGCCTAGTATGTATGTCACAATTACACTACGTCCTGGAATGTATTGTAAACAGAAAAATCTAGCTTAAGTGCACTATGAACTATGTAACACCTTTAGTGCACTATGCACCAAGTAACATCTAGTGTCAGTGCACAGTAAACCAGTAAGAATTGCCCTGATGAAGATGACAGAAGATCATCGAAACGTTGGCTTGAAAAAATAAATTGTTGTGATAGAAAGAACTTTGCTATTCAGTCGTTAACCAACCTGATGAAATTATTTACGGAGGTTAGAAAATAGTTTTCAGGGTCACGTTTAAATTTAACAATTTTACAGCTATAGGACCTGGTATACTAAAAATAAGCAAAAAGCAAACAAGTTCACAAGAAAACTGTTACTCAAGAAACTGTATATTTTTAAACAGTCAAGTAGCGTCAAATATACAACCGTGTAGCTACCTTTTGTCAGTGCATAAATAACAGTTAGTCAATTAAACGGTTGTTGTATTCCTATTGTCTTCCTTTACCAACCAATTGATAAATTAATTTTCTTACAGATTCCAGTGAGGCCACAACCTCATACCCCAAGTAAGTTTTCCTTTTCATTTTAACATACCACAGTGTTAGGCATTTTTGTTACTATTAGCAGCAGTCTTGATGACAAACCATGTTCCTGCAAAGAAAAGAAAAAAAAACAAACAAGCCGTTAGTAGGGCCAAAATCTATTCATTTCTAGGTCTCATCAAGACCTAGCTACCCACCTACAAACTTTTATGACAATCCGTCGAACGCTTCTTGAGTTATCGTGCTAGACCACATACAAACACACGCATACATACGTACATACATACACACAGACACTATTAAAACATAATATTTTTGGCGAAGATGACAAAAACAAAAGCCATTTTTTGTAATATACAGAAACTGAGTATTTTTAGCAGTCTTTTCTTAAAATCAATTGAATAAGCAGACAAGTTCAGACTGTTGTCTGTTGTTGTAATGTACAGAAAATGATGAGAAGAGGAAGCCCCAATGGTGGGAAAAGCTGGTGGATGTGCGCTCTCCCAAGTTTGTCGCTCCACGTGGGGAGGATGAAGATATGGTTCAGGCTATCTGTCAAAAGCTGGTAGGTTTGAGCAATCAAATTTTTGTCCAATGGTTAGCGACTCTGCCTCTGGATCAATATGTTTGAGTTCGAATCCCAACTGTTGTCGCTCACCTGACATGCATGCTACTGTAACTGTTTGCAGTCCTTAAATGTGCTTGCCAAAAGCTTTAGGGGAATATCCACAATACAGTGAACCAGTAAATATTTTACATAGCAGGACATTGGAAGAGAGTAGCTCTTCAGTTAAGGCGCGGTCACATTTCCCAACCCGGGGCCCGACCGGGCAGTCGTATGGAACGAAAATTATGATATAAGACAGTAAAACATTAAAAAAAGTTTAAGAAAATTAACCACGAACACTATTTGTATACTCTTAATACAAATCGTTTATTTTTCGTTCACGCAAACAACCCGGCCGGGCCCCGGCTTGGAAATGTGACCGTGCCCTTACCTGGGTTGAGATCACTTTAAAATTTCCTTTTTTTTCAGGAGAAACCATCAAGGCGGTCTGGCCCACCATCAAAGGCACGTGGGTTCCTCAGCTCCCTGTTCGGACCTAGGGAAGACATGAAGGAGATTATAGAGAATCGTGTGGCAGACTTCCAGCAGTGCTGCAGCATTGACACAGACGATATCGCTGCGTGCTTCGACGGCCTTCGTCAGGTCACAGTGGACCAACACTGCGACATGGAACAGAACGCCCCACACCAGGAACTAGACCTCTCACACCCTTGCTGCGAGGTGACTCATGGAAGGTAAGCCTTGCTTCTTATGTTTGTTTGTTCCGAGGAATATGTTATGCGGGTAGACTATTTTGCCTCCACTTTGTTGAGATCAGTGTTCAGCACCAAGGAAAGGCATGACATTCTTATTCATTGGTAGAAATCATTCAGAAACAATTTCGTTAAACACGTTTCATGTTCAGCCAGTTTTCAGTTGGTCATATATGTGTTAAAGAGTTCATTAATGATGCTGAAGAAGAGAGGTAGATGTCACTTGAAACGTCCGAAAATTATCTCCATAATCTATCCAGTAGTAGAGTTATAATTTCCTATGAGCAAAGTTGAACTTGTTTCATGTTTCAGACTGCAGTACAAATGCACTGTTGCATACTGTGCCTGTTGAGATGGTGTTCAGCACCAAGGACAGGCATGGCCTTTTTTTGTTGGTAAAATTTTGTTTAACTTGTTTCCTGTTCCAGACTGGAGTGCCTTGACCAGCAGATGTATGGGTACAACCCAGAGGTTCATGTTGTCGACTTCTCCGACCAACTGCACGAGTTTCACTCGGCCATGTACAAAATGAAGTCCATGGGCAACAAATGGGTAAGTATTGCGAAGCAGCAAACCTTTATTCATCAAACTTTATACTATGTCTTGCAAACTCATGTCAAATAACAAATTTCTAGGCAAAAAAAGATAATGGTAAATACAAGGGTACAAAGATGTCAGAATCTTGTCTATTTCTGATGATTTTACATATATTATAATAGGGAATTATTCTTTTTTTTAGCTTTGGTGACAGTGGCGTGTGTTTTAAAAGGTCTTGGTTTTAAAAGGATAAACAGCTTTAAAAAAACTGGCCAGAAGATGAGCACTTGCTTCTGTTTGAAATTCATGTTTTTTTTTTCAATCCAGCTCGTTTCCAGTGATCACTATACATTCTAATCATTTCTTTTTCTTCCCGTTGGTAGCTGACCCGTTTTGCCGAGCACAAGAGTGAAGAAAAAATCTGTGAGTACAAGTCCAGAATGGATCAGCTGAAGGATGATTGGGTGAAGAAGATGCCCAGATGGGGACTCTGGCAGCAGAAGGTAACAGACTACTTTCAGAGAGAGAGATACAGAGAGGGAGAGAATTTTGGTTCATTTAGCCAGGAATTAGTTTATTGAATGGCGCAGAGAGCCGATCTTACTAACAATGCAGTGACTGGGAAATGGTTTGGGATTTTGGGACTTGGTGCAATTGACAGGAGTGTGCAAAACAACTGTTGTGCAGTACATTGACTCCTAATGTAAGATCTGAAAGTTGACTTCGAAAATCCATCATGGCTACCCCAAAATTTCATCAGATGCGCAAAAACACAGTCTCTATAATCATGTGTTCTCAGGACGATAAGTGGGGTGAGAGTGTAGCGTGCTGCGGCCTGTCCACCTCCGAGGAGAGACAGGAGTGTCTGGACCGTCTCCGTACGGAGAGGAACGACGACTACTGTCAGCGCCAGCAGGACAGCAGCGGGGACCAGGAGGGGACCAAGATCGACCGGATCGTCAACAACCAGCCACAGCACCCCTGTTGTCAGGTACGTTTATTTATCTATTTATTTATTCTTTATTTCAGGTAAAAAAAAGTACCCATAAAATACATCTTAAAATGATATAAAACTCTGGGTCCAAAGACATACAAACAATACAGATAAACTAGTTGCATATTTATTTATTAAGATTTACAGAATAAAATTCTGAGGGGAGACTGCAACAAGAACAGTATGTTCATCCCCAGAAACACTCCCATAGAAACACATAAAGAGACATGAAAAGTTAAAAGATATGTAAATAGTTGTGAGTGAAGCAAAATATAACTTAATCTAATAACAAGCCGTATGGTAATAGCCAAATCAAAACCATTTTACAATTTCTTATCTTATATCTTATCACTATTATAATGCAGGAAGAGGGAGACCAGCGCTCGGACTGTTTTGACCAGGAAGTGAACAAGTACACCCCAGACAAGCACGGCCAGGACTTCACGTCCACAATTGAGCAGTACGAAACGGACTTCCAGACCTACCTGGACGATAGCAACATCAAGGTATCATCATAAAACAAGTTTAAACTGTAATGGCCAACTGAAAAAAATGTGCACTCACCTAAATTATGAGCAATCACGAAGTAGTGGATTGTTCATTCTTTGGCAAAGACTGAAGTTGTACAGTCGAAAATTTGGGTGAGACCAATTGTTTTTTTTTTGTTTCCATTACAGTTTAAACTTTTTTTTTTTCATACATCAAGGTATCTTATCGTCTTTAACTCCAAGCCCAATATACTGCTATACCAATATTCAGGTAACTCTGTATATAACTCCATCAAATTATATTACTTAGATGAAGTTAGACATCCAGGTAATTTTAAAATCTATCTGGTTGCTTGAATAACCTTTTTGTGTATGGTTTTTCTAGGGTGAGAGAAATGAACTGATTTTAAAGTAATACATAGAACAATATTGGAACTATCCCAAATTTTCATTCTTTCGTTCACAGCTGCCTCCGTGGATGGCAGGAAGAGATGAAGACTCTGAGGAGGACAGCGGTAAGTTAGCGATGTCTAATTCATGTTGAAACTTTACTATACATACAGTATGGTAAATTGTATTTTGTGTCTTCTTTCAATTTCTTTTAACCCTGGAAGAAGTACAGCTAAAAGAAAACGCATTCAATCATTTCTAACCTCTTCCAAATTTAACTTGCATGCTAGATAATTTGTGAATTTGCACAGTGGGTCATAATGACTCCATGTGTTTTGTAGCCAGTTGAATCATGAATATTCACACGTTGTCAAAATAAAAAAAAAAATTTCCACAAATTCTGAGACTCTGTGCTAAGTCTTGCCACGATGTTCTGAATAAATTGTGAACACCGTCGCAAACTCAGGTGAACGCTGGGGGCGCCGCGGGCATGGCGGGCCCAGAGCTCGCGGCCGCGGTTGGCACAGGAGGCACTAGGCATAAACAGGTACGTAAACATAGCCTTTACCAGGCTTGGGGAGGCGGCTGGAAAGAGTAGAAATCAACCAAATAGAGAGATTAGCATGCCAAGAGAGTTTGTCCGTTGATAGAACAGTTCGCCGCACCCAACGGCCAAACTCCCTTGGCATGCTTATCCCTCTATTTGGCCGATTTCTACTCTTTCCAGCCGCCTCCCAAGCCTGGTAGAGGCTAACGTAAACAAGCAACTCTTCAGTTCAGGGCTTCATCAGCCAGCACCCGTTTCTTTCGTCAATTGCAGGAACCGTGTGGCGTGTCACGGTAAAAATCTTAAGCCAATCTGTCAACCTTGATGGACAAAATTAGATAGAATTATAAAAACATCCAAATGGCCACTAAGAACCACTCTCAACCCCATGATTTGCCTCTTTTCAAGCCTTTAAAATTGCATTTTCAAAAGCTTGAAAATACTAAATCACCCCCCCCCCTAGATTGTGAGCACTCTCCCCCAGGTCCAATCATGAACCTGGGCTGACAGAAAACAAAATTCGAGCTGGCTAGAGCCCTACTTCAGTTATTGCTCTCCCATTCTAGCCAATAACTTCATAATGCTTTATCTGATCAATATTTTCATTAATTACATATGGGGGAAATAAATATGCGTAAATCGACCCATTGGGAGTAAACCGATAATACATATTTGGATAATTAATTGTTTTGGCATTACACATAATTATACATTACCCTTAGGACAATGATACATAATTATACATAACCATTATCATTATACATAATTATTCATAACCATGGCTATTGCACATAATTTTCATAACCCTTGAGATCATAATACATAATTATATATAACCCTTGTAATTATACATGATCATACAGCCATACACAACTGTTACAAATAAAGATATTTGAATAAATTACAATTTTCTGTATTTCATAGATCATATTTATTTCATATACACTGGATATTTCTTATAATTGAAATCTTAAAGGGCTGTTTATTTTCACAGATTTGCCAGAGGGAATCGAAGACATCATAGTCTTATAAAATGCATTTTCAAATATTCAAATATTAATAACAATGTAGATAACTGTAGTTTAAAACACGTTAAATTTGGCATACCTTTAGTGACAATACATTAACTGCACCAGCATGTGTTTGTAAATTCTAAGGTTTACAATTCTTTGTATGTTTGTGCCGTTAGTACTTTTCTTGTTTCATTTTCTGTATTTCTGATTTGTTTTGTACCTTTAGTTGTTGTATGTGATTATAATAAATTCTTTTGCATCGACTTTTAATGTTCTTATTTTTTTGTCCTTGTGTATTTTACTACTGTCCTGCCTTAAGTGGCTCTACATGTAGCCAGTTCCTTACTGGACCAGCCTTCTTTGTCAAGAAAGTCTGTCATTGGGTGTAGAATATGATCTACTGATATAGATGATGATATAGTATATGCAAATGAGGATCGTGTGGGATCGCGTGGCGTAATTGACAGAGCGTTCAGCTCGGAACCAGGAGGTCCCGAGTTTGAATCCTGCCATGCCACCGATCGTCATGCCACCGATCTTAAGAAGGGCACACTATACACGAATTTCCTCACTTAACTGAACATAAGCAAATCTATTGTCGGTTCATGCGTTTGTCCTATATGTGTTGGTGGCAGCATAAAAAAACTTGAGGGTCTTGTGATAACTATTGGAACATAAAAAGGGGTTGAATAATTATCAATGACAAACATAATTTCTCAGCCATTAGTTTAATATCATTTGGCGAAGGTATGAGGTCGATCGTGGGACTGTAACTTTAATTGACATGCCTTCGCTTCACCATATCTTTGGTATCAGTTGTGAGGTTGATTGTGCGGTTACCTTATCAAAGTTGTGGAACATGTACGCCAACACCCTGCCTGCCGATACGCGTCCAAACTACCCACTACAGCATTGTTTGCACGGTGCGGCGCGTTTCCGTCTCGTAAACGCCGACCGTTAGCATTTGAAACGGTCGATGCCATATCACTGAATCGCTTTTTGAAAGGGACTAAACATTTTAAACGTAGAAAAAAACACGTCCATTCCAATCCCAAATGTGCTTATTGGGATTTTTCACAAAGTGAAAGGGAAGGCAAAACAGGTGCATACGCACCTTTTCAAGTTGCCCTCCCCCATACAAAAAACACAAACTGTCATGTACAACAACAAAATGTACATAGTCAAAGACAGCAATATATGAAAATACACAGAATAAGCAATAAATAAAGCAAGCATAATTCAAATGTATCTAAAAATATGTGGGAATAAATCATGTTGAAGCAAGAACACTTGCGATGGCATCGTGTTAAAAATAGTAACGTTACGATTTGAAAAAGACAGGTCTTGTCGATTCCTGCCTTTAGAAATCTACGATTAAAAAAAAATCGTACTACAGCACGACGACCTACGGATTACCCCCGGCATAAGTGTCAGAGGAGTGCGGTTTCTCACGACCACATTCCATCGGGATGTCGTAACTTTACTCTCCTTATCGAACCAAATACTCCACATCTCCTTGTGTTTAACATCAAACACCCTCAGCCGAGCACAGTTTCCGAACCAACGGAACTACAACAGCGGCCACTCGCGTAATTTCCTTCATAGGCGTGGCAGTGGAAAAGTTGAAGGAGGCCTGAGGGGGAAACACCGACGCTTGAAATGTGCAAAGTCATTCTCCAAATTTCAAGGGAACTACAGTCAACCCAGTATACGTACTAGTAACTACCTTTGCCTATTTCCTAAGGCCTATTCTGGGCCACTTTGCCATTGTAGATAGCACTTTTTGGTGATCCCTTAGATTATATTTTCCGATTTTACCGAAACATTACGAATCCTGTCGGCAATGACCATAATAAATATGTAGCTGTTCACACGTACTAGATTCCTGTCGATGTAATAAATGTAGTAAAGTACGTGAGTTTATGGGCTCTTAAAACCACCAAAAATATACTCAAAGATAAAGAGACATCAGCCACTATAATGGCGAGACATGTTCCAAAGCTCCTACTCTTGCCAAAAATAAGCCAGGAGATAAAGTCCAGGCAAACACTGTAAATGACTTAACACAACTGTAAACATCTAACTCTTCAGCAGCGCACCAGCTGTCATTTATAGTGTAGTAAATTCCCTTTTGAGTTTACGGAACACCTTACCGTCAACTATAAGAGAAAGGTTTAATCAGACACTGTATAGATGTCGAGGTGGAGTCACACGTGATTTTTACACACTTTTATACAGAGTTAATACAGAATACGTCGGTCACTTTGTGATCTTTATACATCAAGTCTATGCGTCTATATTACCCTTTACCGCTTAAATAAGACAGAGGGGTAAATGAAAGCATGGATAATGCACTGTTATATAATCATGATTGCAGGTTAAACACCAAAGTGACCGCTTTGGATTCGTGGTGCTCAAATCGATGTTTATAGAATGATGTAGTTACGCCCTTAGGTCAACAGGCGGTGCTTTGCACTATAGTGAAGGGTTATACAATACAGAACCGTATGACTTATTTTACAGTTTTCCTGCTTGGTTGCTTAACATGACACCCACGTCTTACGGTAAGTTCAAGCTGCGTAAGATCAGACTGTACAAGGTTCAATCCGTTCACACGTTATATCTTTTCGATAAGTGCTGCGGGCTCTTTAAAGTGTTCAAAGTGTGGTTTTCCACATACACGGGGCCTCTGGCATGACATTCAACCCACTAGTGTTTCAGATACCATTTTGCTGTCAGTCGAGTGAGGAAATAGGTGTAAAGTGCCGTTCTCAAGGGCCCAACACTAGAGACTGGTAAGGATTGGAGCCAAGAACCTTCACATTCTAAATCTTCAAGGCCACTTTGCCAACAGTTTATTTTTAGGAGGGTGAGCAAGCCCATAAACTAACAGATTACGAGATGTTTACAGCTAACTGCACATTTACTTAGGCACTTTGTAAACTTTGTACGTAAAGTCCATAAATTTCTGTGTACTGCTAAAAATATGCCATGTGATAAAACTCTGCTAAAAATAAACCATGTTGTAAAGTTAAGTCTGCCCTGGTCTGCTACAACTGTCGATGACATAATAAGATTATATGTTTCAAAGGGCACGTTGGTTGGTTACGCAATGAAGGACAGTTTTGATTGTGTAACTCTTGACGAATTCTTTATTAAAGTGATACACCTTGAAAAATACTTGGCTTCCATGCTTTAAAGCTGTAAATCGATTAGTTTTTTTTTTTGCAAGATCAAGTAAACACCCGATGTATACTGAAATTGCAGAACATTTTTATACTACGGATCACGTTGCTATGAACGTGAGAACGCTAGTTATATAACAAGTAGTAGATAGCAACATATGATTATGTCAGGTAACATGTCCGTGTCATTAAAACGTAAGTATATTCAAACATATACGTTTACTAAGTATTCAACCACCGAAGTCCTGTTTAGATAAAAAAAATCCAGCCTGCAAAAAGGATAGCACATCAAGTTCCCTGAGCACGCGGCCGTGAACGTGCTTTAAATGACGCCATGTGATGCAGTGATTGAAGTGTTCAAAGTTCAGCTGATATTATAAGTAAACAAACTAAGGATTACTTTGGCACAAGTTCAACAACCCAAGTAAAGTCCAACTACTACCAAACTTCATCATGAGTACGCATTTCTCAGTGCACGTGGCCATGAACGTGCGGCCTCATGTGGCGCTTGAGTAAAATACATTTACCTTTTTCTTTGTCTACCAAATAGCAACGAATACTATTTTTTCGAACGTCATAAAATCTATGGCTTATTTACTTATTATGAAAAGCGATTTGGGCGGCTGCCTATGGATTACGTAGACCCATGTAAAATCCTAGCCTAGATGGCAGACCAGTCTACAGTAGACTTAACTGCCAAAGAGAAGATGGCAGACCCATAGCACACTATAGTAGTATCAAAGTTATCCAGTGTGCAGGATAGACTTTGAGGCTAGTGTGCTATACGTCTGGCATCCAGACTAGTAAGATCATTTTTCATTTATACGTAAAATCTGTAAGTTTATGCTTGATTACTCCTTACGAAAAAGGTCAGGGGGGGCTCCTGGCAACGGCTCTACGCTGAATTCGATTACGCTTTACGATAAATTCCAAGTGGCTACAACGCATTACGTAGAATTAAAACGGCAAATACGCTCTACGCAAATTGTACTAATTACGCTCTACATTGAATTAGAGCGGTCCGTGTACGCTCTACATAGAATTAAAACGGCCCATTACGCTCTACGGAAAAGGGCATGCGGGCCCTCCTATACGAACCGACCGAAGACTCAGGTGGTCAAAGTCCAGGCGATATGTCAGGCACTAATCACTATTAAATGCACTGTGACATGTGTTAACGGCGGTTTGTACTGGTGACAAGTGGGTTAAAAATACCTATATATGGTAACATCCTCGTCAGCACTGCGACATGTGTTTAAGACATCCAGTGAAGCTTTTAGGGCTTGGAAATCAGTTTTCAAAGCCAATATTCTAGTTGAAACCACACCATTCCAATGTACATTGACCCTCATGGAGCAAAAATTCCCGCAATTCTGACGGAAAATGGTTACTGAATGGTTACCTGGGCTGATCTTAGGGCACCAGTCAGAAAAAGAAGTACTCACCTTGGGGCTTGTTTCTGTAGTTTTAAATGCCCAATGAAATTCTGATTCAACTGTGGTAATGTGAAGCAGTATGTGTCAATATCACAAAGATTACCTTATTCAGAATACATCCAGTTTTGTAGCCTGGGAGCCAAACCCATAGCACATCATCATCACTGAGATATTTTGTGCCCAGTGTGCTATGGGTTTGGCACCCAGGATACCAGTTTTGCTGCCCTGAAATCGCAATGTTTGTACCGGTGACAAGCAGGTTAAAAATAGTAACATCTTCGCCATGATGGATTGTAGCTAAGGGAACACCCATCGGTTCCAGTCTAGATTTAGCGTTTTTCTCATCTGGTTTTACTTCGTACCAATTCCTGATCAGTCACTTTCACGTCAACTCTTGTTTTCTCAAAACTCTGTTATCCAGGGATTTACAAGTACAGTCAACCCTACCGAGAATAATTTGAATGGGTCGGTAGAATACTGTGATACTGGGGTTTTCTTTATGCCCAACCAATACGTTTCAACCAGAAGCTCTGAGGAAGGTGTCTGATTGGCATCGAGTACTATTTGTGTATATATACTAGAAGTACAATGTATATGTCAAAAGGAAATCCGCATATTCTACAGTAAATCCTGTACAAG